CTAAGAAACAGTTTGTAAGGGTAGCACTGATGATGGCTGAAAGATCAGCCGAAACGTATGCTGCTTAATTAAAACATTGGTTTCAATAAAAAGTATCAAGAATTACAATCTTCTTTGGCTTGAGATCCTCCTGCTATTCCATCGTTTTGAAATTTGCGAGCCTAAGCATCAAGTTATTTTATTAATTAAATTGAGTATCTTAACGACACGGGCATTAATTTTGTAATATTGATTTTAGATGGCAGCCGGCGCCGTGCTGCGCTCGAAACGATCTTACTGGGGCCAAGATCGTCGCTGGGAGGGAAACTACTTATCCAAGCCGGATGAAAATCCTCAGAGCGACATTTTCAACTCCTCGATAAACAATCTTCGAAACACCGACCACTTCAAGGCTGTTCTGTTCAGCGCATTTATCAGGAAGACCAACAGGTTCTTTATTTGATCAATAATTTTGTCGATTTTGTGACGAACGATATAATAATGTGATAAATAATGCAGGTTTAATAAGACAGCGGACCGCGTTCTGGTGGTAACGGAGCATGCCGTGTACAAACTGGACGACGTGAAGTTCAAGAACATGAAGAAAGGCATGCCAATAGCGGAAATCACTGGCCTGAGCGTTTCACCTGAGAAGGATCAGCTTATCACGATTCATTCAAATCGCGGAAACGATTTCATTCTATCGATCACCGCGAAAGACGATAGAATCGGAGAGCTAGTTGGCATTCTAAGCAATCGATATTACCAGTGAGTCAAAAATATTATTTGAACATATTTAAAGTACATTTTTTTCTGAATACGTATAATAAACATATGTATAAATACTCGCTACAACAGAAGTTGTAGCCTTCGAAAATTTTGATGAACAATTGAAGCAAATTCCGAAATCTATTTTTTAATTATCCAAAATAATCTTATTTTCCAGAATGTGCATAATAATGAGATTTATTTCTTGTCGATAGGCAACGCGGCACCGATCTGCACGTCACGGTAGACGTAAAATTCAAGTGCATGTTGGGTAACAAGAGCAGACTATTGCGCATCGAAGTGATGCCTGACGTGAGCGAGCCCACGTTCAAGAAAGACGGTAATCAAATCATCTACGCCATTCCACCGTCGGTGAGTATCATCGACGGTAGCGTTAATACAAGACAACAAATCCGTACGGCCAGTTAAAAGTCTGACGAGTTATCCGAGACTGTGTACCATAATTGAATATACATGTTTTAATTACTTACTCTCGTTAGCGTGTACTCTGCCATAACGGTACTATTATGCTTTAACGATTCCACAAATCACATTGTGCGCTTATTTCGCATTTGAAAGTTTTCCGGTTAAAATCAGTTATTCTATATAATCAGGGCTGAGCAAAATGTATTTCAAATACAATAAACTATTTGAAATACAAAATGTACAATGCTAACACAATCTTGATATTTAAATTATAAAATACAAAATACTTTTAATTTTTAATTTTCGATTTAAAAATACAAAAATTTTGTATTTTAAATAAAAAAATTAAAGATATTTTGCAATAAATACTAAAATTATTAGTATTTTGTATTTTGTATTTCAAATGTGTTTGCCCAGCCCTATATATAATATATATTTCATGCAATATTAATATTAATCGTGTTAAACGCAATGACCAATTTTACGGTGACGAAACTCAAAAGTTCAATTATTGTCAATAATATCTGTATCACAATCGACCATTCAAATTAGGAGTGTAATTCGTTGAAATGCTATTTCTAACTTGATTATATTTGTATTATAGACATTGGTTGAAAATTTGCAAATAGATTTCTTTTTACAAAAAAAAATTTTGACAGGAATTATAATTGCTATTTATTGAAAAAAGTTGCTAATTTTTTTGATAATATTATTCGTCTTATCTCATCTTGTTTCTCGGCGATTTTAGCGCTAACGGATAATAATACAAGGATTTTTAATCGTTTCGGAGAGTAAATGCTAAAAAGTTTAAAACCTGACCAATCACTGTGCCTGCATGATAAATATACTTATGCCGAAAGCCTGTAAAACAAAGATATTTGTATTGTAATACAAGTTATTTGCGTGAAAAGTATATTACGTGATTATTACGTGCGTGACGTAAAAGCGTGAAAGTTGTCATTTACAGCTTTTTGTACGCCGATATATGCTGCGGCGGAGTGTTTCTCACACGACGCACTTCTTTGTAAATATATAGTATTATAAATATTTTTAGGTTGTAATAATACGAGGACGAGAAGTGAATTGCGAATAGCACACGCGAATAGTGAATATATATAATTTATAAAATAATTTATAAATTTTTGGAAAATCATCGAATTTCTCTCCTCTTCCGCAAAGAAAAATGCTATTTCTCTATTATTCTAACTGCTCTAAGCTGGTGGCCTTCTACTTACTGTTAGATCGAAATATTTTTTTCAAAGCTTTTTACACATATAAATACATAAATATATATCATAAGCAGTTCGATAAATACAAGTGCACTCCTGGAGCCTGTTATAGTGCCTGTTAACTTGACACAAAACATAAAGTATTAAATGAATCCGTCTCCAAAGAAAATTTTGGATCTTTCCATGTACTTAGGCTAAGAGAGACTTTATGCAGAGAAAAATATATATGTAGGATCAAAAGATATGTATTAATCAAAATATATGTATTATTTCACGATTATTTCGATGTTAAATCGATTAACACGCGAAAGATTGTACATTGCCATAGATTCCGAGAGACTATGTATATGCATTTATAAACCGTTTGTTAAAAATAAAAGTCTGCTTTTTTGAATTTATATTTATAGAAAAACAATTATAAGAAAGAAAAGAATATTTCAATTGATAATTATAACTGCAAAGCATTTTAGAACATGTTGAGAATTGTGCCATTGTTAGAAAATAAAGTGAAAGTTTCACATTGTATGCTGTGTCCTCACTGCATCCCTGGTATCGTAAATAAGTTGATCATATTATTCGACATATTGTTTTGGCGCACGTTTGTTGCATGTATTATATACACATAATATGAAGAGCATTTGCATCGTATTTTATTATTGAACATCTTTATACAAAACAGTATATATTAATTATTGATTCGTTGGTACATGTATATGTATCCCAATTCTTTCGGTGGATTTTCCGACAAAGCGACCTGTAACGATAAATTTGTGTAAACGAAACGCGATTTTGTTAAAAATACATGAAATTAGAAATAAATATTGCGTACTTTTTCATCATTAAATATCACCCATCGATCTTCCTTGAGTAAGTGACAAACGTAATGGCCTACCATCGTCGATGTACCCATATGCGATATAAAGCCCACTAGTTTATATCCTAAAAACACAAAAATATACGATAATCTCAAATAAAAAGATGCATAGAGTAATTACATTTCGTAATAATATATAAGTTCCTATATGTACATTATGATTCTCCATATATGAGAACAATGTACTTAAATTTTCGTACACTTTAAGTATCTCGATCTGAGATCGGTGTACAATCTAACTGTCTCATATTAATTTCTTTAAGAAAAATTAAAAATTTAGCACTAACATCCTGCGAGGGCTCTTAATGCTCTTCTATTATATTTCTTAATATATCAGTTATTGTGAATATTTACGAATTTTGTAATAATTTTGTACACTTTTTGTAAATGTCGTTAAAAAACTCATGTAGCAGCACTAATTCTTTACTCGCGTTATTAGTTCAATATTTTGTCTATGTTGTTTATAAGCGATTGTTTATTTTTTTCATACAATTCAGTTTGAGAAGTATAGGACTTTATGACTCACGACTGCTTCCGTCTTTGAATGTTTCTTCAGCCGGGGTATTCGTTCCTATCCGAGTCCCATCCGTAGGATCTACTTCCTGGGCATCAAGTTCTGCCTGATGACTGAAAATCCAATCAGCCGCACGCTCTAAATTATTGTTAGTCGCCTTGAGCGCTTTCGTTGCTTGCTCCCGTGTAAAGCCCATGGCCATTACCATTTCCAAAGCAGCTTGATCCGCTTCAAACTTATCGTCGCCTGACATAAATCGATAATTAATTAAACGAAGTTGATTGATCAGTAATGACATTGAAGCGACTCTTACTTGGCTTAATATCAACTCCTGGTGGTATAAACGGCTCGTTGTAGTCGAAATCCGAAATGTGCTCCATCAACCAGTCCGTTGCAGCCTCGATGTTGCTGTTTTCTGTGAAGTACAAGGCACGCTTGCAAGCGTTCAGCGGGAAGCCGATGTCCGTCAGTTCATTCAGAAGAACCGCGTCGTAAACCGGTGGCGGCGGCGGTGCGCCGTCCGGCAGTAATTTCTCGTCGGGCTGCAGACCGTTTCCGCGCAGAAAGTTCAACTCCACCGTATCCGGCATCTCTACTGCCACATCCAATTTGATGGGCGTCCAATCTTCCTTAACTGTGAATTTTTTCAAGTAAATCAGCAAATAATCCGGGAAACTGGCCAGTCTCGTCACTCTGAAAAAGAAATTACATAAAAGATAATAAAACTAAAAAAACGATTATACAAATGAGAGATGAAAATTTGAAATTATAATGCGGTTAATAATGAAATCAAGATGTAAAATGTTAAAATGAATAGTATAACATTTGATTATGAAAATAGCGCTCACTTAAATGCCGTTGTTTTCGCGTTCAACGCTGAACTATAAAACTGTTCCACAATTTCCAAACGAATGAAACTGTCCAGACATGACGACAATTTTATACGGGGTCTCACAAGAGTATTGGAATCTAGCTTCTGTCCTTTCTCTTCGGCTTCCTTCTTCTGAGCCTCATAAGCAGCCACTTCATCCTTGATATATCATTTACATTAAGTGATGAAAACATGACTATTCGAAAAGACTAATCAAATCTGTTTAATGTATTCACCTTGTTCACTGCAGCCTCCAGCGGTATTGGCAGCGGCAGAATGTATTCCGGCCGATAAGTGTACTTAACTTTTTTAGATTTGCCACATTGATATCTTTCCTCCACTTTAAATTTGAAGCATTCTGTTGGGCATACCTCGTGCCGACTGTTGCGCTATTTAATCAATTCCCAGATGTTAGAATTATTGTCAGATAAGTTTAACGCAAATCCAAAAGTTAAATTAATAATTACATTGAGTAAGTTAATGAGGTAAAGGAGAAATTCCTGAGCGTCTTGTTGCCGATTCGAGAAAAAACCAGGATGCTCGCGACCGATCAGGACCTTAAACATCCTTGGGGGAATACCTTGCCGCGACTCGTCGTCTGTACCAGATTTGCTCGGCTGCTCGGAGTACTTGCCGGAGAGCAAACCAACTCCCAATTTTGCCCTAAAAATAGATTTCTTGGATTATATTTTAGACAGTCGTTAAATATTATTACATTAAGAACGCCATGACTCACATTTGAACGTTAACATTCAACGGTGCATCGTAGTAATTGTTTTGAAATATCTCGGGCGCCTTGTCGACATATCTAAAATTTAATAACAATTGTCGAAAATTATTCGAAATAAATATAATTCGCAAAGAAATTATCCATCAGAATATACGTACTTATTAATAAAATCCGGAACAATGAATAATGTTTGTATGACGCTATTCAGGTAACAGGAATTTCCCAAATTAGTCAGGCCGGTGTAGCCGGGACCGTATAACGGTGTCAATTTACTGCCGGCTTCTTGGAGGGACACCCATTCGCCAAACTTTTGATTTAGATCCAGTTCCAGCTCGATCATCGACTTCTCCGTTTTCTCCATCTGTGAGATGTTGATGCCCCAATGCGACAGATGAATTGCTAAGTTTGGATCGTCCACCATGTCATCCTCATCATACGAGTACACGTCGGCTTTACCACCTTTAGTGATCGTGCCCAGCTTCACCGCCAAAGGATAGTTAGTTGTGCGATAGTGCTCCATTGCGTGGCCATTGCCGCCGCTTCCGTCATAAAACTTACGACCACAAAGTATACTGCCATCAGTCAGATTTAGCCAGAGATTCTGTGTGAGGTCGCACTTTTCACACTTCCAACCGCTCGGTGGTATCTTTTTGCCATTGTCCAGCTGCTTCAGATTTGCAGCATGTCTGTAAAGTGCAAACAATCTTTACATTCTTATTCAAAATAAAAGATCTTATCAATATTAAATGTCATTGCAATTAATCAAAATCATTTCATTAATAATAAACGCCGCAATTGACTCACTTCGACTTCGCTCTAACTTCTCCGTCCCATGTATGTGCTATCTGTGCTGCTGCCCATGCTCCCTCCATGTGTAATATAGCTTCCACTGCTTGTTCCACCTGTCAACAGTTTCAATGACTTAATCAATAATTATATGTAACAATTTTAGATAAATCCTACCTTATGAGGCAAATTGCCTTCAGGATAATCAATCTTTACAAAATTTGGTAAAATGACAATCTGATAGGCCTCTTCATAAGTATATTTTTGTTGATCAGGCATGAATCCACCGACTGTTCCTATTGCCAGCCGCGTGATCTTTTTTTCAGGACCATCTCCTTGTTGATCAGATGGAATCTACAAAATATTTTACACAAGTCAGAAAAAATTATAAAAAAAGTACATAAAGTCTCTAGTAGAAGTTCCCATAAAACTTTACTTACATAGTTTATTGTTCATTGTATCTTAATAAAAAATATAAAAATTGTGTGTTAGTTTTTGCTTTGGAATGATTTAAATTACCTCTTTTTTGGTGCGTTTAATGTGAAGATACACAGGATCATGAGTCTGAGTATAGTACCGCATAAGATGGTCCTGGCCCAGGCCGTAAAAGGATGTGAGACTAACATAGAGACCCGAAGGCGAGTCCTTAAATAGAAAAAAAATTTTTGCCGGTAACGATTATGTTCGTTAATTTCACCGGGTTGTGTTGTTAGGCAAAAGGACAAAGGAGGAGGAGATGTCTTACTGGTGTATCGAAGGAGTAAACGCACTCATCCTTGTATATTTTGTCGCCAGACTGCGGAATTTTGATCTTCTTCAAGTGCTGCGTCAACTCTATCGATTCCATGACAAAAGAGAAATAATTTCCCTTCCTCTTCGAGAATAATGTAAGAATTCGCGCGACTCCGAAGCTAAACGATGCGGTGAATTACTACCACTAGAGGCGTTGGTTGTCACCTAACCTAATTTCGCCTTCGCCGGTATCAATGACATTGCGTGAATCATGGAACAAGCGAACTGGATTGACTGTGGACACGAGGAACGAAATTTTATAAACAAATTTTATTTTTACCGTATTTTTTTACATTTTATATTATTTTCAAAATAAGGAGAATTACATTAAATAAATTATTGCAATTAATTTATGATTTTAACCGTATTTAATTTCTACTAAAATATTTGGGATCTTATTTTTATATTAAATACTTGACTTTCCTTATTTCGAGAATCGCAATATTGCGATTCGATAGTATGGCAGTTAGTCATTCCGGACTTGTTGCAATGAAAAGTTGCGTTCAAATCTTTTCGCGATTGTTTAAGGTGATTGTTTGTCGTAAAGTGTCGAATATCCGTCGTAATACATAAACATTACGTACTTGCACTCATTATTATGTGATAGCGCCGGCAATCGGTCTTCAGATTTGATCAACATGTATATATATTTTATATACAGGTTATGCGTCTCTGCCAAACTGCAACAATAATGCAAAATTATAACTAGGTATATATATATAAATATTATTGCTTTAATTAGCTGCATAGAATTTTTGTGTGATAATGTTGATTTATTTTTAATATTTATTAAAATATTTTTAGAATTTTGTTTATGCATGTTAAATAATAGTTTCTCACTTTAATAACACTTTTCTTAATATATTCTTTGTTCTCTACTTTTCTTCAAAGATTAAATATATATTTGTTTGATGAATGCAAGAAATGCATTTATAACGAATTTAATAATAATCATTATTACGTAATTGGCGCGCTTCGTCGATTGTTTCGATGTTCGAGAATCGCAATTCACACTTCGATAGATAGAAATTCACGTTCGCGATCACCGCCACATTCAGATGATATTCAACTCATTTCGTATTTTTCGTATTGTTACTGTGCAAGAAGTGAAATATTGTGTGTGAAAAGTTATTGAAAGTGTATTATAAAGTGCTAGTCATAACATAAACATTGTACAATCGCTATTCACGCAAATATTGCCACTGCAGTGTCGGTGATCCCTTTCAGTAGCCCGGATTCGATCGATAACGTTGTCGCACATGATAGGTTATTTTTTCGACGAGGTGCAGCGGCGAAGCAATGAATACGCGATCATCACCAGATATGTGCATTCCAGGTATGACAAATCTCATTGTTTTATAATTAACTGCTGTAGAATTAATTAATATACATATATTATGTGATATATGTGACATACAATATAATACAAACCATCGCAAGTATCGTCGATCTGAAATCAATAACTTATTCCACATTACTGGATTTTATCACTATACTTATTAATAATTATACTCGATAATAAATTTGCAATGTTCCTCGGCGTTTTCTAGCCAATAAGGATATACTTTAAAGTCGAGATATATCCAGTTCAGCCATTGGCTGCGGTCGTTGGCTACATTGAAAATGCAATCACATGAAAACAGTTCGTTGTTATCTAAGGTCGTAAAATCCTTGACAGGAATGCGTGGATGGCCCATTGTGGACGAGCACGAGCATAAGAATCCAAATCACGATATTTTTCATATAATAATTCGTTTGTATTATGGAGAACTTCTCTCGCGGTTCTTGAAAGAGTATTCTACGAAACGCAAATACATAAAACCAAACAAGTACATCTCTGCAATGCAAAAACACGTATTTTTTTTGCCTCTTATCGCGCTTCAGGATTTCCCAACGCATTAACACGTCGCGATAGCATTTTTGCAGAAAAAAGAACCGATGAAGAAGATGCAAAATAATAAGGAAAATTTTCTGTAGCAAGATATTCGCGCGGAAATATTTTACGATCCCCGGCGCTGCAGAAAATCCGCCGTGCTTTTCCGGACGGTTATATATAAATCTGCGTCGCGCAAGGTCAATGGTATAAACGCGAAAGTCAATGTCAAAGGTGAACGCCGCTCGGCGGCGAAAAACGCCGTCTATGGATATCATTAATTATTATACGCTTTGCGCAATTGCTTTCGGCACATGCAACTCTTTCAGACCAGTTCTTTTGTGCGGCGTGTGTATCAACGGGATTTCTCGTAACGGGGGGGAATACGATATGACGTGCTTGAACATAATGGCATGTAGAAATAGGATATACTATATCTTTATTCGTAGGGTTCTCAAAGTATATCAATTATCATTAAAACTCATTCACCGTTTGATACGTTTTCGTGCCTTCATTAATATTCATAAATTGCACGTCATTGTATATCAATTTATGGTGATACTATCAGTAATGTTACACTCAAAAAAATATTTCGCTGATGTAGTTAGATTTCTAGATATCGCAACAAGAATGTATCGCTATTTTTCGTATCTGTGAAAACATTGTTTGTCACATACAGAATTTATAGCAGTAATGTTCTAGCAATAGCTTCTGAAAAATTTAGGTACCATTGCTAAATGTTATTCATTGCATGATCTAACACGTGATTGATCTTATATAGATAGGCGCTTTAGAGAAACTTTCTTTTTAAAGTTCACAAACAATACAGATATATATTCTGTTTCTGTCATCTAAACTGATTAAGTAATTACATATGCAATATCACAACAGTTGCTAATCATTTATCTGTTTTAGTTAATTTTTTACACCTAGAAAATTTTAGCTATTATTGCAAGATCATTTTTTTGAGTGTAACGCGCTACAAAATTGTGTATTATTAGAAAATACATTTAAACCTCATGTGATACGCAAGAATAAAAGATATAAAAAAATTGTAAAACGCGCCATACCTCCGAGGTTCTATCTTATGGAAACGACAATGTCTCATTTGAGATGTATGCGAGGATGATGATAAAAATATCTTATCGCGATAAAAACTTTTCCTCCCTTGGCAAAACAATCTGACATTTCTTGAAATTTACAATTTATCTCGATCAGTAGCTTCCATGCCTTTTTATAACTCGTTTACGACGCATGACAAATTGCGGTTTTTATAGTATTAATAAAGTCACTGTGGCCTTTTTTTAGAAAATTAATTCGTTCAAGAATAAGATATAAAGTCGAGAAAAAAGGCGATCGTAGTTATCGTAATTATTCGCGCGAATAGCTCCGAGCCATCGGTACCGACGAGCGAAGTCGCCGTAAAGATTGCGAGGAGCAATTACACGGGATAGATATTCCGAGATTTCTCACAAATGATCATAAAGAGCAGCCTCGCTTTTGCGCAGCGATTATCTCGCAGCTGACTTATCATTGCACGCTGTCGTAACTCGAGCGAGTATCTTAGTCGCACCTTTTATGTGCGCCATCGCACTTACGTCGAATCAACGCAATGACGCGCGTGCTGACGTACATACATATATGCAGAGTGTCGTAAAAAATCCCTCCTTACTTTATCACAATAATTAAATCTAATTCGAATGTGCAAACAATTTTTTTCTCGACGCCTCACGGCGCGGAAAGTTGCACAGCGATCAGCGAATCGAAAAAGAATAAAGCATTACTGTTAATTGAAGTTTAAATTCGTACTAAACTTTATTCTTTTCGAATTGAACAATCTTCCTTGGAATTTTCCAGTAACGATCGGCGCCGCCGAATCGGTTAAAGAATTTGTCATTGAAATTAAAGTCGAGAGTTCTGGGACACCGAGTATTTATAACATCACTCGGTCAACGGTATAAACATAAATCATCTAACGGCGCGGAACGCTTAAGGTCTTTCTTATTAGCGTATTGTTCGCGATCGCGCAAGGACACGCTCGAAAATCTGAAAAAGGTCGCCGGGGACATGAATACGACAATATTTTGATTAGAATAAAAAAACTACGCTTCTTTTTCTTTTTACAAATTTTGCGAACATTCGATAAAATATAGTTTTCTGCACAGTAATGCTTTATTCTTTATTCTTATTACATGCTTGGTTTGTGAAAAAACTCCATATCAATTCACCGATAATTCCGAAATCCGAATTAAATTGCATGCAGATTTGAAACTCTTACATTTTAGAAAATTTCGAACAGTAGTAAAATCGACTTTAATTACAATTTTGATTACATTAAACACCTCGCGGTATGCAATTTGAAATATATTCAATTAAACGGAAAAAAGTTTTTAATTGGATTTTCAATACAATAATGCTTTATTTTTTCATCGTGCGCTTAATTCACAAAAAAGTTCCGTTTCAATTTCCCGATATATCTCTGAAATTCAAATTAAAATTTGCTCAGATTGAAAACTCATTTTGCAACTGCGAAAAAAGTGATAAATAGATTTTAATACAATATTGATTCCGTTAAATATCTCGCGCTATGCGATTTTAATATGTCAAAGTGACTGACAGAAGAAAGGAAACTTTTCCAAGTATATATTACTATAGATCCTTAGCGAAACTCGATATTCAGATGCTCTAGCAGATTCGGGACTCCGGCTAAAAAGGGACGTCCGGCTTACGTGGGGCATCCCTAAAATAATATCTCCCATTTCAACCGCTTTTGAGCCTCTCTCGCAGGAGAGTGACATTGGCTGCTCTCGTATTGATTTATATGCCCGCCCGCGCTGCATGCGGCCCCGGCCGCACGCGGCCGGCAAGCAACGGCCACCTCGCCTTGCACTTGAAGATGCAATCGAACGCGAATGGTGCCTTCTTTCGCCTTAAGGAGAGGAGAGACGACGATCGATGGTGTCGCGAGAGCCCGAGAGCACGCGCGCGTGCTGCGCATCGCATCGCCCGGGGTCCACGCCGCGCGACTCCGCCTAATCGCGCAAAGCGAAGCCGCCGATTGCGACTCGCCGGGATTTTACACGCGCAGCATTGTCACACTGTTACATTTAACATCCAATCTAACATCGGGCGCTTTATTCTGGATACGTGTACATTTATTAATCGGTTGATATTTTTTTTTAAATTAAATTGACTATTACGTATAATTTATCATATTTAATGAATTATATATAATTCTCATTTAGTAATTTATTATATTTAGCAAATGCAGATGTATTTATGTGGTCACGCATGC